ACTCAAATTTATGGGACACAAAGAAAGGAGTGTTAAGAGGCAAGTTTATAGCACTAAATGCCTACATAAAGAACCTGGAAAAATCACACACTAGTGAATTAACAGATCATTTGAATACTTTAGAACAAAAAGAAGCAAACTCACCTAAGAGAACTAGATAGCAGGAAATAATCAAATTGAGAGCTCATGAACATTGATGCAAAAATACTAAATAAAATACTGGCAAATCAAATCCAAGAACACATCAGAACCATCATCCACCATGATCAAGTTTGCTTCATCCCAGAGATGCATGGATGGTTAAACACAGGAAAATCTGTCAACATAATCCACCATATAAACAAGCTGAAAAATAAAAACCACACGATCATCTCATGAGATGCCGAAAAAGCTTTTGACAAAATACAGCATCCCTTCATGATAAAGGTCTTGGAGTGAGCAGGATTACAAGGAACATACCTAAACATAATTAAGGCAATATACAGCAAGCCAATAGCCAACATCAAACTAAATGGAGAGAAACTCTCAGTGATTCCACTGAAATCATGAAAAAGACAAGGTTGTTCACTTTCTACAAATCTATTCAATATAGTCCTTATGGTTCTAGCTAGAGCAATAAGACATTAAAAGTAGATCAAGAGGATACAAATTGGAAAAGAGGAAGTCAAACTCTCATTGTTTGCTGATAATATGATAGTTTACATAAGTGATCCCAAAAATTCTACCAAGGAACTTCTACAATTCATAAACACTTTCAGTAATTTAGCAGGATATAAGATTAACACACACACACAAAAATTAGTAGCACTTCTGTACCCGGATGATAAAAGGGCTGAGAAAGAAATCAGAGAATTAAAACCCTTCACAATTGCCACAAATAGCATAAAATCTTTCGGAGTAACTCTAACCAAACAAGTGGAAGACTTGTATGACAAGAACTTTAAATCCTTGAAGAAAGAAATTGAAGAAAGTGGAAAGATTTTCCATGCTCTTGGGTAGGCAGAATTAACATAGTAAAAATGGCAATCTTACCAAAAGCAATCACAGATTCAATGCAATGCCCACCAAAATCCCAGCAAGAATGGTACTCAACTTCATATGGAAAAGCAAAAACCCCAGGATAGCCAAAACAATCCTGTATAATAAAAGAACTTCTTGAGGCATCACCATCCCTGACCTCAAACTCTACTATAGAGCTACAGTACTGAAAACAGCCTGGTATTGGCATAAGAACAGACAGGAGGACCAATGGAACTGAGTAGAAGACCCGGATATCAATCCACACATCTTCTAACACTTGATTTTTGACAAAGAAGTAAAAAATACCAAATCAAAAAAAGAAAGCATATTTAACAAGTGGTGCTGACATAACTGAATATCAACATGTAGAAGAATGAACATAGAACCGTATCTATTACCATGCACAAAACTCAAGTCCTAAGGATCAAAGACCTCAACATAAAGCCAACCACACTAAACCTTAAATAAGAGAAAGTGGGAAATACACTTGAACTCATTGGCACAGGAAACCACTTCCTAAATATAACCCCAGCAGCACAGACACTGAGAGAAACAATTAATAAATGGGGCCTTGTGAAACTGAAAAGCTTCTGTAAAGCAAAGGACACAGTCAAGAAGACAAAGTGACAGCATACACAATGAGAAAAGATCTTCACTAACCTTACATCATACAGAGGTCTGATCTCCAAAATATACAAAGAACTCAAGAAACTGATCACCAGAAGAACACATAATCCAATAAAAAAAATGGAGTACAGACCTTAACAGAGAACTGTCAACAGAGACATCTAAAATGACTGAAAGACACTTACGGAGATGTTCAAAATCCTTAGTCATCAGAGAAATGCAAATCAAAACAACTCTGAGAGTCCATCTTACACCTGTAAGAATGGCGAAGATCAAAAACAGTGATGACAACTTATGCTGGAGAGGTTGTGGGGAAAAGAGAACACTTTTGCATTGCTGGTGGGTTTGCAAGCTTGTACAACCCCTTTGGATATCAGTGTGATGATTTCTCAGAAAATTAGAAAACAACCTTCCTCAAGACCCAGTAATACCATTTTGGGGTATATATCCAAAGGATGCTCAATTGTGCCACAAGGACATATGCCCAGCTATATTCACAGCAGCTTTGTTTGTCTTATCTAGAACCTGGAAACAACCTAAATGCCCCTCGATCAAAGAATGGATAAGGAAAATGTGGTACATTTACACAATGGAGTACTACACAGCAGAAAAAAAAAACAACATCTTGAATTTTGCAGGAAAATAGATGGAGCTCAAAAACATTATTTTGAGTGAGGTAACCCAGACACAGAAAGACAATTATCACATATACTCACTCATAGGTGGTTTTTAAACATAAAAGAAAACCAGCCTACAAACCACAATTCCAGAGAACTTAGACAACAATGAGGACACTAAGAGAGACTTACATAGATCTAATCTACATGGGAAGAAAAAAGTAGAAAAAGACAAGATCTCCTGAGTAAATTGGAAGCATGGGAACCTTGGGGGAGGGTTGAATCGGGGAGGAGAGAGGCAGGGAGGGGAGTAAAGAAAAATATAGAGATCAATAAAAATCAATAAAAAAAAGAGAAGCGAGAAAAAAAGAGGTAAACTAACTGACCAGGTCAAAGACAACAACAACAAATTTAGAAAAAGAAGACCAACTACGTTTTGTCTCTAAAAAATGCTACAGAAATATCCAAAAAGTGAAGATAAGTGGGCAGAAATGACCCCACCAAGCGGAGGGAAGCTGCAAACAAGCCGGCAGGCATATCTAATTCTAGAAGGTACTAAAAAGTAGGAATAGAAGGGGCATGCCTCTACACAAACAATGTGCAATGAACTTCCTGCTGACAGCATACCTGATATGCAAGCACTAAAAGCATTTGTTTTATAATCTGAATCACAAGGTACTTGCTTCCTGCACTTTTATTTAACATGATACCTTAAGTTTTAGTGTGATCAGAAACACAAAAGAAATAGGATGGGTACAGATAGGAAACGAAGAAGCAAATTTATCCTTTTTAGTAGTGGACCTATTTAAACATCTTAAAAAATTCTACTAGAAAGTTCTTTGATATGAATACTTTCAGTGAAAGTGAATACTTTCAGTGAATTAGAAAGGCACAAAGCCATTAAAAATTCTTTAACTTGGAATATTATTAACAAATTTTCTGAGATAGAAATTTAAAAAAAAAAAACACCCATAGCAGTCTAAACAATGTACAGGAAAAAACTTAATCAAGAAGGTGAGTGGTCCCTACAATGAAAAGTTCAGGAAACTAAAAAAAAAAAAAAAAAAAAATTGAAGTAGACACTAAATGATGGACAAACCTCCCATGCTTTGAATTGGCAGGACGAATATTGTAAAAGTGTCTCTGCTACAACAGTCTTGCAGAGTTGACACAAACTCCATCCATCTTCCAAGAGCTTCTTTATAGAACTAGAAAAACCAATCTTAAAATTCATATAGAAACACAAAATATTCTGGAGTTTAGCAGCCCTAAGCTAAAAGAACAATATGTGAGCATCACAATACATCATCTTGAATTGTACTGCAAAACTTTGGTAGTGAAAACCGCATGATATTAGCACACACAGAAAAGTGTAGACCAATAGATAGAAGACTCAGAAATAAATCAAGCCAAATCATTGCTGATCAAGATGCCAAAAATATACATTGAACAAAGGAGCCTCTGAAACAGACACTTCTAGGAGAACGAATATCCAAATTTAGAAGAATAAAATTAGTTGTATACCTGCACAAAAAAATCAGCCCAAAATCAAAAGACTTTAATATAAGACCTGAAAGTATGAAATTGATAGAAGAAAACACAGTGAAAATACATTGAGAGATAAGTATAGAAAAACTTACTTAAACTCACCCTGGTCTAACATATCTAATGTCACTGGTATTTCCATATTTATATTTCTGATCTCATCTTTTTGTGTGGCTTTGGAGCCTGTCTGCCTGCCTCTGCCTCCCGAGTGCTGGGATTAAAGGCATGCGCCACCACCGCCTGGCCAGTTTTGTGAGATTTATGTAAATATTCTTGTGCTGTTTAGTTTTGTCAGCTTGACACAAGCTTGGTCATTTGGGAAGAAGGAACTCTTTCTTTCTGTCTGTCTCTGTGCTCTGTGTGTGTGTGTTTGTGTGTGCGTGAGTGTGTGTGCATTTCCTTTCAGGGGTGAAAGTCTAATAGAAAGATTCACATCTCACTTGCAGACTTAGAAGTGGAATAAACTTTCTGAATAGTGAGACTGATCTCAGTGAAGAGAACTCTTACCCTGTGAATTTAAGCTGCCTGAAGTTACAACCCCAGCACATCAGAAAGTCCTTTGACAATGCCCCACTGATCCTTCCTGTCCATTGTTTCAGTAACATTCTTAGTCAGCATACAAAATAATGTTTTTAAAATAGTATTTACATTTTTACTTATTTGCATTAAACGTGTTGCATGCATATCTCTCTCTCTCTCTCTCTGTGTGTGTGCGTGTGTGTGTGTGTGTGTGTAAGAGTGAGTGTGTGTATATGCCTGTTCTTGTGTGATTTAAGACATTGACAGTCTCGCTCTATTACTTACATTTCATCTTTTTGAGTGAGGTTTTCTTACCCAGACTGCAGTTAAGATGGCAACTAGAAGAACCAGCCATCTCCCAGTCTCACAGCATGCTTGGGTTACAGGCAGGTTACTCCTGGGTGTTTGAAGACTCAAGTTCTTATACTTGCACACACAGCAAGTGCTTTCCTGTTCTTATCTACTGAACCATCTCTCTATCCCCAAATTAGGACATTTTCATGTATTCTGTTCCACTTTAAATTTCAAGAATGCAGACAGAAAAGTGTTTTATTTATATCTCATTGGCTTATCTAACCCAAGGCTCCCTGGCTGCACACAGACAAGGACAGTTAAAAATATAGTCCAACCCATAGTTAAAACTTACTTAAAATGGCGAAGGTCACGGACAAGATGGTGCCCCCAGTTCAGGTCTCTCCGCTCATCAAGCTCGGCCGATACTCAGCCCTGGTCCTCAGCATGGCCTACGGCGCCAAGCACTATAGTTACCTAAAGCCCCGGGCAGAGGAGGAGAGGAGGGTGGCAGCAGAGGAAAAGAAGAGACTAGATGAGCTGAAACGGATTGAAAGAGAACGGGCAGAAGCTCAAGATGACAGCATACTCAAGTGAAGCGCCAGTGAGCTTGCCTTTCTTAAGTCGCTGAGGATAAATAAAGCTTTGTCGTGTGAAAAAAAAAACACACACACAAAAAACTTACTTAAAACATTATGAGTGTGTATGTGTGTGCCTGAGTATGCGTGTGTGTGTGTGTGTGTGTGTGTGTGTGTGTGTGTATTACTCTGGAGTATAATTCATGCCAAAAATATTGTAATTTGATGATATATATATAATATATATATATTTTGATGACATATGTAATTGTTATATTATGTGTATGTCCCTCAGAGTTGCTTCTGAGCTTACACAGTGTAAAAAGGAACAGAATTTGCATGACTGACACCCCCACCCTGACACACACTTTTGATTTGTAGTGTTGATTGTACTCTCAGTTTTTCTGAAGGAGGTCTTTATTCAGCAGCAAGTTCCCTTGAATGACATCATCAGTTACTTTGGTGGGAAATCAGACATAAGCCTCTTACTCTTACCAGGAATGTAAACTGCGCTCTGCCAGTCTGAAGAACCATTTCTATGTCCATGAAATCAGAAGCTACATATTTAGTTTAGGTTGACAATGGTTTGGTTGTCAATGGCTCTTTTTATGATTTCAACTTTAAATCCTGGACTGTCAGTGAATTTTTAAACATGCAGGCCTTTGATACTGAGCAGAAAGCTCCATTGTGTGACTGTAAGGAAAGGAATGTGATCAGGAAAACCATGTGATGGTTACAATAGGTCTCTTGCGAGCCAGGTTATTTCGTGAAAGGGGACAATAGCAGGAAAATCAGTTTTGTTTTCCTTCACCTTCTTCAGAGGAAATGCACAGGAAATCTGTGTTCACACGGGGGAGGGATGCTGGAGTATACTGTGGGATCCTGGGGGAAGTTGGCATTGCTTGGAGACCGAGCAATTCTGGGGTTCAGTTTGTTATTAATACTTAATTCTACAGTCTGTTCCCAAAGAACTTTTACTTTGTTATTTGTGGGGTTCAGCAAAGTAAGAGAAGAATGTTGTCGTGGTTGCTGACTTGAAGGTAATCTGGGTCTGAGCAGTAACCCAGGCCAGAGCCCAAGACACACCCTGCTCTTACACTTGGAAGAAATGAAACCATAGAGCGATTGGTTTCATTTTCCTGAAGGGTATATTACAGCAATGCGTTATTTTTTTTGTTTGTTTGTTTGTCTGTTTTTGTTTTTTTGTTTTTGTTTTTTAACTACATGCTGGCTGCAAAGGAAAGGCTATCTGCAGTTAGCACCATCCTCATCTAATAGTACATGCATGAAAGAAGTATCCTTCTAGAATATTTAATAAGAAATAGCATATGCATTTGGAAGTATATATATTTTTAAAGATATGCTTTAGTTTTCAGACTTAGGGTTTTGTTTGTTTGTGAGATGGGGTCACATACAGCTTAGGATGGGCAACTGACACACTTCGTAGCTGACATTGCCTTCAATCTTCTGATTCTCCTGCCTCAGTCCCAGATGCTCAGATGCTGGGATTGCAATTGACTCTATAAATTGGCTTTTGAAGGCAGCTGTTAAAGATGGTTAATGAGCCTTTAAAGATTAGAAACTTACCAGGGCTTTTCTGAAAACTTCTTTTTATATTAGAAACTTGAGATGTGTGTTCTTGGAGCTATTTGACCTAGAATGTGGAAGAGTCATGTTCCGTGGGTCAACAAGAAGCACATGTGTTCAGGACAGAGTTAGTTCTTGTACAGTTTTCCCAAAAATATACTTGTTGACAACATATTATACCAGCCAAACAAACAAATGAACAAACAAAACACCAGCAAAGTTAACGTCCCAGTAAATTAAAATGCAACCAGATAGATGACGGTTTAGGAAGTGTTTGTGCTGTGTGTATCCCCTTCATCTCCTAGCCCAAGCATTTTTAACATACACTTTATAGAACAGTGGAAACAATGCTCCTTCCCTGGACGGCACCTTTTCCCATGCTTAAACTATTTTAATAAATGGACACCCAACAACCTGTTGCAAGCTTGCTCTCCTCTCCCACGTGCTACTTGCATTGTGAGGTAAATTTTCAGCTGGTGACTTTACCTGCAGCAACACTTGCTACCTCTCCCTTCAGGTCCAAGCTCCTACTCTGGTCTCTCCTGAATTGCAGGAAGAGTTCTATAGCTCTTGTACAAATTTTCCTCTTGTTGCTTTCAGTCCTTTCAGAGACTTTTCTAAATCCCCCTGGAGGGACTGGATTGCAAGTGCTAAACACCAGTGTTGTGTTCATTCTCCCCAGTAGCATCCTTCTGATTGACAGTGTAAGGCCTCACATGATCAGGCATGCTGCTACCCCTCTGCCGCTATGCTGCTTTCCATTCGTCTGAATTGGATCTAGCTGCTTGGTCTTTGTGTTGCAGACAGTGCAAGCGCCTGTCTGGGTTCTTCCTCTCCCTGTCATTCCATTGGATATCATGGTTCTTGGTTCCATACTCTTTGATCAAAAGTGAGACGCCAGCCCCTTGACATCCCTATATCCAAGGACTCTGGGATGTTTGGGTTGGAAGCATCACCCCAGGCCCTGGTATCCAACCTTGGAGCACAGTGTAGAAGCAGTGGAGCAGGAAGCTCCATTTCAAGCCCCCTCCCCTAGGGGTTGTCGAGACTCCACTCTGGGAAAGTTTGCCAAGCACTGATCCCTCTCTGAGAAGGCCAGGACCACTCCCACAGGCTATTTAGGCTGCTGCCCAGAACAGGAACAAATGGTCTCTAGGTTTCACATGATCGCCCCGGCCCTGTTCACTCTCTTTTCCTCGCCAAGCTTTTCAGGGCCACCCAGAAGCGCTGCGTTAAACGTGGGCATCTTTTATTAGATCTAATTTGGTTTGACTGGAATTATTTGCTTTGGCCAAGAGGCTTGTCTTAAGACTATTCTTAACACATACTTCCTTCAGGGCTTTTTCTTTTCTTTTCTTTTCTTTTCTTTTCTTTTCTTTTCTCTTCTCTTCTCTTTTCTTTCTTTTTTTTTTTTTAAATAAAATATTTCCCTCTCATGGTGCACTGCTCTGTTGGCTTACTGACTCCATTTCCTGTATTTCCTCTACCTTTTCTGGGTTTATGTTTTATTTATTGAGAAATTATCACAAACAACTATTTCATACATTTTCACTTATTTATCTTGTTTAATTCTTTTCATCCATTATTCTATGTACTACATAAAACTACGTTTTTGTGCTTTTTGTCCACCATCTATAATGCCAGGTCATATACTGGCTTCTTAAAAAAAACTTACTTAATAAATGGAATACATTCTTGTCTTAGAATGAAAATATGAATTTTTGAAAGCCCTCTGTGGGTCAAAGGATTTTCCTCATCTTGCCAGGTAATTATTGTACTTGGCTAGAATGGGATCTAGCCCTCCGGGATCTCTTTAGTATTCCACTCATTAGGGTAGAACAAACTCCAGATTCTACCAACTGGTCACGCAAAAAGGAAGTTTGGTAAGACAATGAGTCAGCATATTTCTTCCTGTAGTTCTTAAAAGTGTTCGGTTTCTCAATATGCTTTCTCAGTTTCCTGTTGGGGCACCGAGCCCCAGAGGGAGGCCACTACTTCTGCATGATGGCCTTGGATGAGGGCTGTTGCTGTCCTGAGCGCCCTCCCTTCCAGGGACTTACCCTATGGGTTCACAGGGTCTTTAACTGCCCACTCTCCCTCTGCTTATCTAGAAGCTTGGGGACAGATTTTCTTTTTGGGTGCAGCCAAAAAGAAAAACAGAAAGTTCAGCAAGACTCAGACTTTATAGAAAGCACTGTACATCAGGAATTTCCTTCTGCAGCCCATCCCTCTGTCAGTCCACTCAAAACCAGAGTCTTCCAGTAAGTGTATCCCACAAGGGATACACATATTCTCAGACAGGTGACATGCCTACTTCCTAAAGGGGAACAACTGTTAAGGAGAACAACTTTTCTCAATATGATATGCTAAAGTCTTCGAAAATTTCCTTAGAAACACTAAAATGTTAAAAATTCGCCAACTTGTTCCCAACATTCTAGCAGTTCAGAATGTATGATTCAAATGTTTGATATTCAGTAAAGTCTTTAAAATTCTTTGCACTTGACGAATTTTAAGAGCAGCTGGATGTGTGGTGTTGGAACGTAGCAAAATTAAATTGCTACAGTTGGTTTGAACTTTCCAGAACAAATTGTAAGTCTTTGTTGCTTAGAATCCCTCGGCTTCCTGTTAAGAGTGAATACAAATCATGCTATTAACCATGTTAATTATTCAAAGCAACTACAGGATGTCAGGCACGGAGAATGCGGAGAATGCACTCTGGTTTTCTGCTCTCGGGTGCTAAGTAAGAAGGGCAAGCACACCTTCACCTCAGGGGTCCTGGGAGGTGCTGCTCTTCAGGACTGCTGAAAGGGCAGGGACTTTCCCAGGTGCAGCTCCAGCCCAGCTCTCTGAAGTTCTGCCGAGCTGGGGCCCAACACAAAGTTGCTTTCTTTTCCTAAAGATTCCACCACTTCTTCAGTTCTGTAGCTGCCTGAGGTAGATGTGGATGGAGGGTTCAAATGGCTGGCTCTGGAGGGCATTACCTTTGATGAAGTGCAAACCAAACTCTAAAAAACATCTTACATTATATAGAAGAGGAATGTAGAAATTGACATAATCACCCTGGACCATAGGTTCCACTACAACTTTTTGTTTGTTTGTTATTTAATTTCCTGACTCCCTTTCCGTTATGTCTCTGTTTCTTAACTGCCCATTTGGCACAATGAGAAACCCACTCATTACCCCGACCAGTTCCATCTTCATAATTGCACTTAACTGAGCATTTCCGTCCAGGGAGGCACTGAAAAGTTAGTGTCAGCCACATATCCAGTCATATATATAAAGTACAGCTAGAACTTTGGGAAATAGCTTTCCCATCATAGGTATAAAAATGAGGAAAGAGTTAGTAACTCAGATATTTACCAGAATTTCTCTGAAAACTTTTTTATTCCAGAAGCTTGAAACCAGTCACTTTAAGCTGTGTTTTCTTATTTTTCTTCAAAAACAATTCTAAGGATCCTATTCAAAAACAAAACAAAACAAAACCCTGAGGCCGTCAGCTG